CCTAGAAGTAAATATTTCCAATGGGAAATATGAGTAACTAACTATACGTCCTAGACGTAAATATATCCAATGGGAAATATGAGTAACGTCCTAGAAGTAAATATTTCCAGTGGGAAATATGAGTAACTAACTATACGTCCTAGACGTAAATATTTCCAATGGGAAATATGAGTAACTAACTATACGTCCTAGAAGTAAATATTTCCAATGGGAAATATGAGTAACAAACTATACGTCTTAGACGTAAATATTTCCATTGGGAAATATGAGTAACTAACTATACGTCCTAGAAGTAAATATTTCCAATGGAAAATATGAGTAACTAACTATACGTCCTAGAAGTAAATATTTCCAATGGGAAATATAAGTAACTAACTATACGTCCTAGACGTAAATATTTCCAATGGGAAATATGAGTAACTAACTATACGTCCTAGAAGTAAATATTTCCAATGGGAAATATAAGTAACTAACTATACGTCCTAGACGTAAATATTTCCAGGACGTATAGTTAGTTACTCATATTTCCCATTGGAAATATTTACTTCTAGGACGTATAGTTAGTTACTCATATTTCCCAATGGAAATATTTACTTCTAGGACGTATAGTTAGTTACTCATATTTCCCATTGGAAATATTTACGTCTAGGACGTATAGTTAGTTACTCATATTTCCCATTGGAAATATTTACTTCTAGGACGTATAGTTAGTTACCCATATTTCCCAATGGGAATATTTACGTCTAGGACGTATAGTTAGTTACTCATATTTCCCAATAGAAGTAAACAACAATTTTCAATGACGAAAAATGTAGGACAGTCAATCAAGAGCCAATCGATCTCGTTACTTTTGTCCTCGTCAGGTAAGCTCGAACGCGCGCGCGAAAGTCTGATTAAACCGGTGTGGATACAAATATATCTTAGGTGAAGCTCCTTTTATTACCCTTAGAGACAGTAATGAGAAGACTGCTGACTCATCTTTCGACGCAACATTTATAGAATTTCGCAGAGAGCAAGAGAAAGAGGGAGATTGTTCCCCCCACACAGATTAACGCAGCGTCTGATGTGAAAAACAACGCAACGTACATTACGACTATTGATGTAGGATACGAACGCTACTTCTGATGATTTACTGGTGTTTTGTACAACTAATGCGACGTCTAAAACTAAAGAAATATTTGTATTTATGGCAAAGCTGCTAAGACTATATGCCGACGTCAATAATTCTGAGGGCCCTGGCATGGCCAGGTGGTTTGGTTAGGGCGCTCGACTCACAATCTGCGGGTCGCGGGTTCGAATCTCCGTCGCACCAAACATGCTCGCCCTTTCAACCGTGGGGGCTTTATAACGTGACGGTTAATCCCACTATTCGTTGGTAAAAGAGTAGCCTAAGAGTTGGCGGTGGGTGGTGCTGATTAGCTGCCTTCCCTCTAGTCTTACACTGCTAAATTAGGGACGGCTAGCGCAGATAGCCCTCGTGAAGCTTTGCGCGAAATCAATAACAAACAAACAAAACCATAATTTGGAACAAATGACCAAAGGAAAATCAACAGCAAGCTACCACACAGACCCACGCTGATGGATTCATTGTCACTCTTATAATGCAAACACAGTTGATCGTGCGGGAAATATTTTGGAGTATCGCATGGACTCGAACCTGGCTCTTCATCTCCAGAACTCTACCACAGGGTCGACCAGCACTTAACTAAAAAAAGATCAACATGTCATATATATATATATACATATAAAATACAACATCTCGACCATAGTACGAATAAAACACTATTTCGAGTGGCTAAGTTCTTCATCACCACGTTTGTTTGTGTTTAAATACTGTGTCGCACAGATATTTACAAATCGCAATAGCGCTTCTACAAAATATTCACACTTTATTCTTGTTTCCACGACAACACAAGCACTTAATGCCTTCTATGTTGTCTATAATAAGGAAGTGTTTTACGTATCTTTCCTCACTTTCATGATAAAAGTATGTTTGATTTATTACTTTTTCGTATCTGTTTCTTAAGCACTGTTAGTAATGGTGATTTTAATGTGTTTATCTGTCAGCAAAAACATCAGACCATCTCGTAAGACTGCTGCCTATAAGAATACCTGATGTTTTCACTTTCTAATCTTTGTCTGATCGTTTATAAAACAACTACAAAATCTAATAAGTAACTAAACTCAACGTTTTATATTTACATAATTTTAAAGCGTTGATTTTAATTATTTATTAAATTTTAAATAATACACAAGTGCCAACCATTTATATTCAACTACAAAATCTTCACTTTCCAAAATACAATACAATAGAGTTATATCTTGTTTACTATTAACCTGCCACAATTAAAGGCATATTTTCCACTTGCCAGCTTTCATAACAATAGAATTATAATTTGTTTACTATTAACCTGCCACAATTAACGGAATATTTTCCATTTGCCAGCTTTCATAACAATATAATTATAATTTGTTTACTATTAACCTTTCACAATTAAATGCATATTTTCCACTTGCCAGCTTTCATAACAATATAATTATAATTTGTTTACTATTAACCTGCCACAATTAAAGGAATATTTTCCACTTGCCAGCTTTCATAACAATATA